AAACAAGCGCCAAAAACAAAGATGTACTCCATCGGGGGAAGGGGGGATGCGAGGACCCGCGCCGATCGGCAAAACAATTCGGTGATCGACGAGGCTTCTTTGGAGATATCTCGGGAGTCTCCTCAAGTGTGGTGGGAGCGACTTCCAGACACATGAGGCGTCTTGGCAGCTACTAGGGGCCTGCATGTGGGTGATGGGTTGGAGATGTAGGCGCGGGGATGCGTCTGGGGCCCATCTCGGAGGCGCAGGCTTCTGGAGCCCTCGAGGGAGGAGTATCGTGAGCCCTCTGGGGGCGCTTTTGAGCTGCGAGGGAGGCCTCCCGAGAGTCTTGCAGGATGTGTTGGAGCCACCTTGGAGGCATGTTGGGCCGTCGGGGGCTTTCAAAGGCCAGAGGAACCAACGCGGCGGCGCAGCGTGTTCGCCAGATACGCGCCAACCGCCAATCAACGCACCAAACGCGCGCTGATCAAGCAAAAAGAAAAATTATAATGTGGCAGGCGAGGCTGGCCAGCCAGAATGAGTACTTGGCCAATACACACGCCCGAGCCACGCTACGAATGCGCTGGGCTAGAACCATCGCGCGCTTCGCGCGTGCTCAGGTTCTAGCCCAGGCCGGGGAGGAACCAACTATGAGGGAGTCCTTGGAAAACTGCAAGAAACAAATGTTGTGTGTTCGCGACACTATTGGGGATCCTCTTGAAGTTCTCTGAATGACCTCTTGGGCAGTTTGGCAGCTTCTTCGGGGCGTCTAGGGGCCTCTGGGGGCCTCTTGGCGGCCTCGTCGGGCGAGTTGGGACGTCTTGGCAAACTAGTGGGGCCACTTGTGAGCCTCTTGGGAGCCTCTCGGAGGCGTCTGATGGGCGTATTTTTAGCAGCTGTCACTTCACAACGTGGCCCCGCAGACCTTCGAGCGAAAGTCTCGAGCGGGGAAAACCGCTCGACCGCCCGCACCATTCGTTGGTTTCAGGAGCCTTCACAAACGTGGCTTTCAAAACCATACGACTCAACGATTACCGAAACAACTAGAAATCTTGTCATGGAAATCCGCCGCCGGAAAAGGTGCCACGATGCCGAACGCCGCCCGATGCATCTCAATGGAAATGTTTTCCAATGTTTGCAGCTGTGCAGGACTGAGACATTCACCTGCTGACATGTCTGTGGCTCTAACGTTAAGATTTGCCATCTTTGATTCCCGGAACAGGGCACAAGTCCTCGAAGCTCCGAGGTCATCGCAAGCAATGTTTGCCATCAGAGAAGAATCCAAGTTGCGCATTACTACGTCAATAAAGTAGGCCGCGTATCGACTGTACACAGACGTCGAAGAAGAATTTGCTGCGTACTCCTTCATTCTTGAATCGGTCAACCAAAGAGCGAAGCCCGGTTTTGAACCACCTCCCGCATACCTCTGCCGGTAGACGCTTGCGATCCAATCGTAGAAAGGCCGATAAACCACGACGATTTTAGTAGCTACGTGGCTTAAATCAGAGGCGAGCTGCGCGATCCGCGTGCTCCAAAGGCTGAACCATTCACTAGACATTACCACATTATGGGGAGAATCCCTGAGATGGTCAATGTACTCGATCCAATCCAAACATGTTCGGGTTTGATTTACAGCCATCTCAGGTTGCCAAAAATCGCTCCACTCATCGTGAGTTTTCCCAGTATAGCACATAGCTACGTTGGCGACTTGATTCTTCACCCCCACTGCGCCTTTACCCAAACTCCCGAATTGACGAGCGCGTAGATATGTCCAACCGTCTTTTGCGAGCTCGTGCGCGTGCTGAAATAATTCGCCTTGAACTGTTGTCGTAGCAGTCTTTGGGGGCCCAACGTGAATTACGACAGTTGCTCCACTCTTCTTTGACCCAGCATCTTCTGCACCCATTGCAAGTCTATTATTATGCAAGTAACCAAAAAATATGATCCTACTCCATGCTTGCAGCCGACGCGCACACATAAAGGCACAATGAAGCGATTCAATGGCGCAGAGGCAGGTAACTCGTAGGCGACCGAAGGACGGATAACTCAAGTGATCGTGCACGTGAGCCAAACTTGAGCGAAAATGGCTACGGAGGAGGCGTCTGATGGGCGTATTGGGAGCCTCTTGGGGCCTCTTGAACTCTCTTCGGGGCTCCCGAGGTCATTCTGGAGTCATCTTCGGCGCCCCTTTCTGAGCCTCGTGGGCTGTCTGAGACTCCCAGAAGACCGATGGAACGATTGTGTCCAGAATTTACACATTACTCGACGCAGAGATTCCCATATACATATACGCATGTCGTTCCCTAGCACTTTCCGCTGCGAGCGTCTAGCTGTGAGCGTCTGGGTGCGAGTGTGAGTCCGCGCGTACTACGGGCACGGCGACGACGGCGGCGGCTAGGAGTCGGGACAACGTTGACGACCATCTTGCGAAAATATAATCCCAAAGGCAGGTGTGGCCTTCATTCGTTTCGCCCTCTCCCAAGTACCCGCCCTATAAGTCTATGAACCAACCACCTTTCGGGGGGCCTCCTTTCATATCAGCTCCTGGGAGAAGCATACAGCAATGCGCTCCGAACGCGCACCGCGCCGCCATGGCCGTAATGCGAGCTAACGCGCTGGCGGGTTGATTGAATTGCGAGAGAATCTGGGGCGAGAGCGCCGTTCCTCAGGTTCGGGGCCTCTCCGGCCAGGGCGTCTCCGAGTAAATTATTAAGAAATGTCGAGCGGGGGCTGATGACGTCGCAAGTGTGCCGTTACGAACTTGAATAAATTGTGAAGAAGTCTCGGGCGAGAGCGCCTTTCCTGAGTTTCGGGGCCTCTCTGGCCAGGGCGTCTCCGAGTAAGTTGTAAGGAAGTACCGAGCGGGAGTCGGAGTCGTTGCAGCTGGGTCGCTGCCAAACTCACTGAATCACGTGGATGTCTCGAGCGAGAGAGCAGTTCCTGAGCTTGGGGGTCTGTCTGGCCAGGGCGTCTCAAAGTATTAGCTGTGAGGAAATGTCGAGACAAAGCCGTTGTCGTCCTTCAGGGGCTCGGATGTGGACGTAAGCCTGCGCTCGCGCAGGGCATCGTTCCCAATGAAACTGCAGCCGGCGTCGGTGCGAGAGCGCCCGGAACCGTTTCCAGAGATCACCAATGGTTATTCTCTAGAAGTGAATACAGAACTCTCACACACACACACACACAGACACACACACGGGGGGGGGACTAGGCCCCTCCCCTCTCCTTCCTCTTCCCCCTCGTCATATCCCCTCCCTTCTCTTCCTCCCTCATACCTTCTCCTTCCTTTTGCGTCCTCCTCCTTCCTCATCCTTCCTCCCTCCTCCTCCTCCTCCCTAGCGGCCGTCCTGCGCCCTACATACATCGAGGTGATCATAGGGCAGGAGGTGCAAAACGAGCGCAGAGCGCGAGACATCCCAAAAATCTGGGCGAGAACGGGCGAGTGCCATACCCCCTGGCGGCTCCCACGTCGGGTGCTGAAGCCAGCGCCTCGCTCGAGACATTCTCACGATCTGCTCTCAGAGCGGGTGAGTCTGGGACACCTAACAGGCAAACCGCCTGAGACATCCCCACAATCTCGCCGCGAACGAAGGGGGGTTACCACCCCTGGCGGTTCCCCCGTGGAGTGCTGAAGCCAGCGCCTCGCTCGAGACAACCTCACCAGCTGCTCTGAGCCCAAACGAGCCTTGGCCGGCAAAAAAGCAAACCGCCTGAGACATCCCCACAATCTCGCCGCGAACGGGGGTGTGTCTCCACCCTGGCGGTTTCCCCTTGGGGCGTTGAAGCCAGCGCCTGGTCCGCGGCATCCTGAGTCTGGGACACCATACATGCAAACAGCCTGACACACCCCCACAACATGGGCGAGAACTGGGGAGTGTCCCCACCCCTGGCGCCTCCACCTTGGGGTGCTAGTCCAGCGCCTCGCTCAAGACATCCTCACCATCAAAGGAGCCTGGGCCACCAAGCAAACCGCCTGAGGCATTCCCACTATCTCCCCGAGAACGAGAGAGTGTCCCCACCCCTGGCGGCTCTCCTTTGGGGGGCTGAAGCCAGCGCTTCGCTCGAGATATCCTCACAATATGCTCTGAAAGCAGGGGAGTCTGGGACACCAAGCAAGCAAACCGCCCTAGACATTCCCACCATCTCGCCGCGAACGGGGAGTGTCCCCATTCCTGGTGCTCCCCCTTGGGGTGCTGAAGCCAGCGCATCGCTTGAGATACCCCCACCATCTGCTCTCAGCGCAAAGGAGCCTGGGCCACCAAACAGGCACACCGATGGAGACATCCCCACAGTCTCGCCGCGAACGGGGGGGGTCCCCACCCCTGGCGGTTCTCCTTTGGGGAGCTGAAGCCAGCGCCTCGCTCGAGACATCCTCACGATCTGCCATGAAAGCAAGTGGTTCTGGGTCACCAAACAGGCAAACAGATGGAGACATCCCAAAAATCTGGCCGCGCACGGGGAATGTCCCCATCTCTGGCGGCTCCCCAGTCGGGTGCTGAAGCCAGCGCATCGCTCAAGACATCCTCACCATCTGCTCTCAGCGCAAAGGAATCTGGGCCACCAAACAGGCAAACCGCCCGAGACAGCCCCACAATTTGGCCGCGAACGGGGGGAGTCACCCCACAGCAGGGAAACTTTGACCTAGAATCGGCGACGCACCACTGATAGATTGGCGATAGACACCCGACAGCGAAACTGCGCGTTCCTGGGCGGGGCCGGGCGCCCAAGCCCAGATCGACCACGGTACGGGTGATTGGGGTCTGGTGCTTCCCACCTGTGCCAATGCTCTCGCCCTTTCGTCGCCCCTGGCGACTTAATTATTGCATGCTTGTAACGGGATGGCGGCAACGAGCTCACTGAAGGCACACCATTGTCACTGAAGGCAACAGAACAACAGAACTGCCTTCAAAATGTGTGCCTTCAAGAATGTCTGCCTTCAGTTAGCCAAGAATGTGCCTTCAGTGAGAAATGTGTGCCTTCATTGAGCTCACTGCCGCCATCCCGTTGCAAGCATGTCGCCCCCGGCGACCGATTGCGGTTTGAGGGCCAGGGCCGAGACGACTGCCCTGTCCTTGGCGGCGCACAGGGGAATAGGGGGGTGGAAGGCTTTGAAGGAGGCTGCTTCTCAGAAGGCGCCGGCCCCACACCCTCGGAAGAGGCCCGCGCCTTCTGAGAAGCAGCCTACTTCCAAGAAGGTTTCCCCCCTCCCCCTGCTAAGACGAAGCCAGGACGAGCATCACTTCGGGTGAAGATGAATCCAGAATCACTGAGATCCGGCGGGTCTGGAAAATGTATCGGGCGTCGCGGCCTTCTCAGAGCGTTCCGGAACGCTCTGAGAGCGTTCTGGAACGCTCTGGAACGGATTAATCCTCGTCCTAGCTTCGCTCGACCACCCCCCTCTGAGCGTGGCCAATATCCGCGCGCTCGATGTTCAAGTCCCGGAACTCGGCCCGCTTGTTCGCGAGCTCCCGCTTCTTACGCCGCACCGCTGACCTGCTCATCTTCTGCCGGAGCTCGGGCGGGTTGGCCGACGGGAAATACTCAGGGAAATCGAGGCGGTCGCCGACGGCCGAGGAAGAAATAACGGCACGAACACTAACTCGGGACGATCGAAATGCGTACAGAGGAAATCGGCTCAAAGATCGACAGCATGTCCTATACATTTTGAACCAGACTCGCTGTCGGTGTCGCCGCGGGCGTGACCCATTTGAGACAAAGGCCGCCTGCCCAACAGCGGCCGCTGTCGGTTTTGGGCAACATTTGTTGGGCATCGCACCCATGTTCGTCGTACACGCTTCGGGCGTCCCAAAAAACTTGCGAAGCTACGCGCGGATTTCTCGGATCGGCGTCCCTCCTGGCGGCGCTTCCGGCGCCGCCCCTGACACGCTGCGCGGGCCAGGGAGGGGGGGGTCCAGCGCCGATCGAGACTGTTTGTTATTTCAGTCAACTGTCGTTGCCCTGGGGGAGGGGGGTGGAGCCCTGGGATACGGCAGGGCGGGATGAGCATGCGAGAGCCGCAGCATACGTGCGAACAGCACAACATTCCTTCGGGCATCGGAGCGTTGGGGGAGGTCCAGGCCCCCTCCAACGTAAGATCGTCACCGTTACCCTGGGAGCCGGCGAACGACCGTTGCGCGCCAGAGAACATAAAGAACAACATCATTATCATCAGAGAAATCCGCGCAGAGCTCAGCAATTGTAAGTGTATGCTCGTGCCGTCTGTCCCAAGAAATCCAACGACTCCGAAACATGCAACACGGTAATTTAAAAAACTTCGACTGGAGCCCCAGACCCCATCTTTCTGCGCGACGTTTTCAGCCCGATCGCTATGCCAGGGTCCCAGAGTCCGGAACCCGGCAAAAAAAACGCCCGGTGCGAAAAACAGTTGGCGGCATCCGAACCCTACCCAGACCAAGCATCGATTCTCCAGAAACGATAGGAGGCGGAATAGGATTCGGATTTCGCCGTGTTCGACAAATTCCGAACCCCACTCCCGCCGCCCATTGAGCTGCCTGAGCTGCTAATCGGCGAGGCTAGATTTCGGATTTCGCCGTCGGGGGGGGGGGGAAACGAGACGCCATGATCTCTGGGTTTTCCTTCCTCGCGAAGGTGGGGAGCTTCCATAGAAGAACAAAAAACGGCGTAAACGTAAACTTTTGAAGGTCCGCGTGGGTTTCTTGGATCCGTCGTGGACCCCCCCCTCCCTGGCGTTAAGAGCGCGCCAAAAGCGGCGGCGGAGGCGCCGCCAGGGGGGCCCCTGCGCCTATCCAAGAAATTCGCGCGGAGCGCCCCGAAAGTTGTTATTGGCGGCGCTCGCAAGGAGGCAGGGGGAGGGGGGGGGGAGGCTTTTTAGGAGGCTGCTTCTTAAAGGCGCCAGCCCCACATCTACAGATGAGGCCCGCGCCTTCTAGGAAGCAGGGTGCTTCTAAGAAGCCTCCCCCCTCCCCCTACCCTACACACCCCTCTGCGCGCGACCCATGTTATGTTTACGCGGTGTTTCTTCTTCGATTCCACTCGCCGACGGCGAGGCGGTGGCGGTCGGCGAAGCTGGGCAGCTGCCCGCCGCCGCCCTCCTCGGGCTCAGCCGCCCAGCGCACCCAGGACTGCCGCCGGCTGGCCGCGGCGCCCTCCGCGGGCAAGGTGTCCTGGGGCCAGGTGTCCTGGAACCGGGAGGGGGGCGCGGCACGGGGGTACACGGGCGGCGAAAAGACATGGCGCCAGCCTGCCGCTGCGCCCCCTCGGGGCCTGGACTCTTGTCCGAGGTGGGCGGCGCGCCCGCGGCGGACAGGTCGTCTGCAGGATGTGTTTTGGTGTGGCGCCACTCGGCTCCCGTGGTCTTGCCGCTCCCTGGTACCGTCGTCCCCTGGTGTGCCTTCGCCGCTGCCCTGGCTGGCTGCACGGAAGCACACGGGGGGGTCCGCAAGACTTGGAATAGCGACCCTGCGCGGTGGCTTGCGCGGAAGCCACCGCCGCACGTTGAATCGGAGACGAGGGCGCTTACGCGCGACCCTGCGCGGGAAGCTTACGCGCCAGTATCGGCGCAGACGGCCCCTTTGCTTCCCACCGCTCAGATGGTTGCAGCGGGTTCAGGACTGGTTGGTTGATTGCAGCAATGTTGACGCATCAAGGGTCTACTCTGGTCCTCCTCCTCCTCCTCCTCCTCCTCCTCACCCTCCTCCTCTTCCTCCTCCTCCTCCCCCTCCTTCTCCTCCTCCTAGTTTTCTCATTTGTATGTCTAATGGTGTTATTACTCATCTTAGTAGTATTCATATGTGCATTCTTGCGAGTAAGAGTATGAGTTGTAGCATTGGTGATCGTAGGTGTAGTAGTAGTAGTAGTAGTAGTAGTAGTAGTAGTAGTAGTAGTAGTAGTAGTAGTAGTAGTAGTAGTAGTAGTAGTAGTCGTAGTAGTAGTAGTAGTAGTAGTAAGTAGTCGTAGTAGTGGTAGTAGTAGTAGTAGTAGTCGTCGTCTTCGTCGTCGTCGTTCGTCGTCTGTCGTCGTAGTAGTAGTAGTAGTGCACTACTACTACTACTACTACTACACTAATACCACTACTTAACACTACTGACTACTATCTACTAACTAATACTACGATCTACGCAATACTACTTCTACTATACACTTTGTTACTACTACTGCTGTGCTGCTGCTGCTGCTGCTGTGCTGCTGCTTGCGACGATTACGTACCACTACTACGACTAACTGACTACTGCTGTTTAAAGACTACTACTTACCACTTACTACTTACTACTTTTCTTATCTTACCATACGACTACGACTACTATTACTTCTACTACGACTACTACTACTACTACTACTACTACTACTACTACTACTACTACTACTACTACTACTACGACTACGACTACTACTACTACTACTACTACTACTGCTACTACTACTCCTACTACTACTACTACTACTACTACTTCTACTACTACTACTACTACTACTACTACTACTACTACTACTACTACTACGATTACTACGACTACTAGTCCTACTAGTAGCATTGGTAATTGAAGTCGCAGTCTACTAGTCTACTGCTACTACTAGTACTTCTACGACTACTAGTATAAGTCGCATTATGAGTCGTAGCTATGTGTCTTATTACCCGTATGATCGAGATCAGTGTTGGTGTGGTTCTTCTTCTTCTTCTTGTATTCATTCACATGCCTATTGTTATTTTAGTCGTCCTATTTTTCTTACCACCGCTGACCGTAGCATTCGTTTTCGCCTTCTCCGTCTGGTTATTATCATTACTCTTATGATGTGTCTCCCCGTCCTGCTCCGCCTCCTACATCCTCCTACTCATCCTCTGACTACTCCGAGTACTGTTACGATTACTCCCACTTCCTGTGCGACTACTAGTACTACTACTACTACTACTACTACTACTACTACTACTACTACTACTACTACTACTACTACTACTACTACTACTACTACTACTACTACGACTACTACTACGACTACTGCTACTACTACGGCTACTGCTGCTGCTACTACTACTACTACTACTACTACTACTGCTTCTCCCACTAGAACTACAACTATAACTGCTACTATCACTACTACTACTACTACTACTACTACTACTACTACGACTACTACTACTACTACTACTACTA